GGCGTTCGAGACGGCGTCAGCGCTGCTGTCCAAGGCGCTCGGGGATGCGCCATGGGTCGCTGTCGCTGAGAACTTCGCCAGCATGACTGCGGACTCGCGCCTGCCGGTTGCGGAGGCGCTCGGCCGCCGCCCCGCCTTCGTCGGTTGAGACCGCCCGCGCGCGACGCCCCCGCCATTGGCGCAATTCCCCCGCGGGCCGCGGCGCGCTGCGGACTTAGCCCCGGGCGCGCGGCGCGATTGAGGTGGCGGCGGTGGCGGGGCCGAGGGATCCGTGGCGCTCGGGCCCGCCTCCTCGCCTTCCTGGGCCGCCCCGTCGAGCTTCGCCGCCCTCCGCCCCCGCGGCCCTGTGAGATTGCGCGGCCCGCGGGCGGGCGCGGTGGGCGGCGGGCGATTTCCAATCCCCTCCGCGATTTTACAAGGTTTCGAACACTTTGGCGATGGCGGAGGGAGTCGGGCGGAGGCCGCCGCGCCTTGCCCCCAGCGGAGGAAGATGTCCTGATGGGCTCTTGGCCGGAGCGCGCTCCGCCTGCCCAGGGCGCCCCCGGCCGCGAGGACGGCGGCGCGCGGTGCTCCCAGGCGGGCAGCAGCTTCCGCGCAGGAGCGATGGCGCGGCTGCTGGCGCAGGACTTCTTCGCAGTCGGCCTCGCTGACGCCCCCGCTGCGGCGTCGGCGATTCAGGGCGCATTCTACGCCGAGTTCCGGGCCCGGCGACGCGGCCGCGGGGCCAGGCGCGCGCCCCCCTCGTTGAGGGGTCGAGCGACAGCCTCGCCCCCCGAGGCAACGGAGCCGCAGGCGAACGAGGCTGAGGCAGCTCTGACCATTGTTCGTGGCTTGCTCCGTCATGCTGTCCATCGAGGGCCCGGCGCCCGGGTCGACGTCGGCCCCCCTGTCGGGCCTCGGCGCGGCCGGAGAGGTGAATTTGGCAGACAATCGTATCCCGCCAGCGGCGGCGCTTCGGACGGCGCATAAACGAGCTGATGCAGGAGATCTTAGCCGCTCTCCATGTGATCTGCGCATCAGAGCGACCACCGTGGCTCGAAGATTGGCACGTTGGTCGGCTCAGAGGTGGTCCTTGCCATCTGCGCCAAGCGTCGGTCATCTTCGCGCAGGCTGAGCCATCTTGTCAAACGAATTGATGCGCAGTGTTTGGCCTGCGGCTTAAACCCCTTCTTCAGCCGCGACACTTGCAAGACCAAACCTGCCGGCGACCCCTCGCCAGAGCGCGAGCGCGCGGCGCTTGGCGTGTTATTTGGCCCCAGCAGGCGGGCTCCGCCTTCTCGGCTTTTCGAGGCCGGCCCCAATGGTGAAGGGCGTGGAGCACCGGCCACGGGCGGGGCACTGTCCAAGTCGACGACGTGCCGCCTAAACTGATTCTTCATAGCCGTAGAAGGAAAATGCGCCCTCGGGCCCGCCAAGCTATGGGCCGCCTTGCCGATTGCGCGGTCCCGCGCCGATCCTCGCGCGCTGCGCAGCCCGCGTTGATTTTTTTGTCTTGGCAAGGGCCCGAGCGGGAGGCCCCAGAAGATCCATCGCATATGGATCAGACTGTTTTAGAATATTGAAAAGCCGTGGTCCGAGAGGGAGCCAGAAAGTTATGCTTCCGACCTTGTGGTTGGGCTTCAGCATTGAAGGCCGCGGCTTCGTCGCCAGCTCATCGGGAGCTGGCGCATGGTGGGCGCTCGGGCAAAGGCTAGGGTCCCAGCCCGCGCGCCTCCCCTGTCCAAGCTGGTGGCCATACGGCTCATGGGCCATGCGGCAGCAGTGCATCGTTTCGAGGTCGGTGTCCTATGACGCGTAGGCTACCGCGCCATTCGTCGATCCTGTAAAATGTTCTAGTTGCGTGCCCAGGGCGTGGGTTTCCCTGCTGATCGAGCCACTGCCGCGTTGAGCCTACGATTCGCGAGGACTGACAGGCGGCAGGGAACACGATGGTCCGCGACTGCCTCGGATGCGATGGTCGTGCGAGCGTTGCGTCATCACGCCCATTACCGCCAACCTTCCGAGCCGCTCGCTCATCTCTCGGGCCCCACCACCGGGCCTTGTTCAATCAGGCATGTCGGGAGTTCGGGCTCGAGGATCACGGCTTCTCTCTTTAGTAAGTCAGCAGGGCTGGAGCCACGCGCGATCAGCTACCATGGATCTTGGGACAGGTCTGTCGTGCGCGGCCTCCGGAGCAACAGTCAGGAGGGAAAAAGACACAGACACAATTCATCGTCGATTCCCCAGAAAATATGGGAAAATATGGGAAGTGGGGGGGAAGAGAGAAACCCAGCAAATATGAGAAAATACGGGGAATCTGTTTTATTTGTGTGTATTTATTTGTGTGTCCCAGGGCCCTTTTCAAACAACCGCACTGGCCGTATTTACATGAGGTGGGGCTGGCGATGTTGGGCGGACGGCCCCTCTCGCCAGCCTCCAAGGATACGTTTTCTGCGGCTGCCACTTTCTGGTAGCAGGCCAGGGGGCGTTGGAAAACCGCGCGCCGGAGGCAGGTGGTTTTCCATGCCGCGCAGGGCCCCCATCCATAGGGGTGGAGGGCCCCGCGCCTGATTCCAGTTGGCGCCGCTTGCCTTCGGCTAACAAGACTGTCGTGCCACCCGGAAACACAGTCGTATGAGTTACGACATCCATATGAATAAACAGCACATATATATAATATATATACACGCGTGTGTGTATGTGTTTTCTGGCCACGGCAGGAGTGCGTATGCACCGATCTTGGGCCCAGCATGGGCCATGCCAGGGTTTCGGCGTGGACGTATAGATCGAAGGTCTACGTTTGTTCAACGTGTTCGGCTCGTCATGGTCGTTTGGAGGCCAAGACCCCCCTGTGGCTTCTGGCCTCCGGGCCTCCACGGGCACCTCTGGAAATTCCATGATGCCGGAAGCCATTTCCAGGAAGATTCACGAAGTCTTTCGTACACCTCGATGCCCCTGCGCGTGTGCATGTGCGTGTCCTTGTGCGCCGGCGTGCGCTTGGCGTGCGCCGCGCGGCCTGGGCGGGCCATTGCGGTTGGCTTTTCGCGGCCGTGCACGACGGCCCGGGCCTGTGCAGGGATGCCTTCTGGCGGGATACAGATCCCTGTCCGCGGCCTCGCTGGCCGGGCCCCTGGACCGCGACCCCGCGGGCGCGGGGCGTCGTCCAGCGGATCCCCCGCGCGGGGCGCATCCCCAGACATGATCGCGTCGTAAAAAATTCCGGACGGGAGGTTTTTGGCCGTCAAAAACCGACTCGGGACGGTTCACCGGTCCCGGGGAAAGGGTCGGGGCTTCCAGGGGCGCCGTCCTGAAAAAATCAGGGCGTCGCATGTCTGGGTCTGTGTGCGACCGCGGGTCCGCAGAACCGCATTCTGGAACCAATGGCCACGGGGGCGCGGACGCGGACACGTTCGCCGCTCGTGGGGCGACGTGCGCCGCGCTCGGCGCCTCCGGCTTCGGGCGGGCGCTGCACCACGCGCCCGCACATGCCCGCATGTGCGGGGGCGTCGTGGAAGCCGCAGCTCTCGCTGCCGCGCACGCAGGGCCTGCGAGGAGGCGGGAGGAGGAGGAGGAGGAGGAGGAGGAGGAGGAGGAGGAGGAGGAGGAGGAGCAGGAGGAGAGGAGAGGAGAGGAGGAGGGAGGAGGAGGGAGGGAGGAGGGAGGAGGGAGGAGGGAGGAGGGAGGAGGAGGAGGGAGGAGGGAGGAGGAGGAAGGAGGAGGGAGGAGGGAGGAGGCCTACAGGGCCTGTAGGGGCCCTACAGGTCCTGCAGGCTTACCGGGGCCTTTGCGGGACCGTGCGGGCGCCTCGCGGAGGGCCCTGCGGGATCCCATTGGAGGACGAGGGGTCTCGCCAGCGCGCACGTCTGTCCTCAGTTTCTGTCGCGGTGGACGTTGTCGGGGAGTTCCTCACCGCCCACCAAACCACCCCAACCCAATCCGAAGGCCTCAATTTGCCTTCCATTTCGGGCGGGGGGGGGGTCGGGGAACATCGAACAAACACTTGTGGAACCCATACCCCCCCCCAACCCGAACTTCGGATCTTCGGGTTGGGTTGGGGGGGTCTGGTAGGTAGTCAGTGACGACACGCGTGAGGTCGTACCACAGGGGCGCTGCGGCTTTGGGTCCAGCGAGGGGCGCCGCACGTTGTCCCCCCCCCCCGCTCAGGAAGAATAGCAGCAACGTCATGGGCTCGGGGCGACGCGCTCGCCCACGGGGGGGATTTTGGCGCGCGAAGGGGCAGACCCGCCGTCGAGTCTTGAGCGGCCCACCACGTGGTGGCCGACCTCGGAGCTGCCCTAACCAAGGGTCCGTGCATGGAGTGGCTCGGCGTCGCTCGGACGTGTGCTTCCTTCTCCTCGGCGAGGGCCATCGAGGAGCTTTTCGGGCCACCCTGCGAAAACATGCACGCGCGAGGTCGAAACATGCACGGGGCACGGACGTCCGAGCGATGGCGAGAGTGAACAATCGCATACCTCCCGCTCTCGCCCTCTCGCCTCTTGTTCCGCCGCCTCTATTGGTTATATGATGTCCTTTCCTCCACCTCCTTGCTCGGCGGCGAGCGAGGGGTGGGGAATTGAGAAGGCGAAGGCCTTCTCAGACGGCTCGGAAGTCCTCCGGCCTTCCGAGAAGTGTCCTGGGCCTCCCCCGAAGACACAGAGGACCCCTCTCAGAAGACGCCAGGGTCTCTGAGAAGTTCCGCCGGCATCTGAGAAAAGGCCTTCTCCTTCTCACCGTCCCTCCCTCGCTCGCCGCCGACTGCAGTCATCCTCCTCGTTCTCTGTTCCCTCTTCCTCCCAGTCTCATCCTCTGCCCAGGCATGCCATCTGGCAGGGGCTGACCTCACGGCGCCTGCCCACCGCTCTCGGGTCAAGTCGGGCTTGCCCCTCTACGGGAGGAGTGTTTCAAAAGTAATCAAAAAGTAGTCTGGTGACGATGTTTCGACTGTTTTTGACAGAGTGTGAGTCGTTTGTGGGTAATCTTAGTTTCTCGCCTCAAATCCGCCCGTAGGGGGACACGCCCGACCTAGCCCTCGGGTCCTCCCGCCTCCCTGTCCTCTCCCCCGCGACACTGCCGCCGTCGAGGGTTGAAAGTGTGCTTCTTGGGATGCCCAGGTCCCAATCTGCTCTGGGCGCCTCCCTGCCTCGAGCGTGGAGCGGTCTCGCCTCTCTCCTCCTCTCCGGGGGGGCGGGCGTGGGCTCGTGCTGCTTCCAGCGCCTTCTCCTGCTTCCTGCTGCTGCCCACTCCCTCCGACCAGCGGGCAGCGCACGGCGGCGAGGCACGAGCGGTGCCGAGAAGGCCTGTGGCGCACGCTCCCTCAGGGGGGGGGCCGCGCCAAGGCCTGGATGTGCGACTGTCTCGCGAAAGGGGACGTGCCACAGCTGGAGGTGAACTTCCGCCGGCAGGAGCAGTATGGCGACGAGTTCGCCATGGGACTTCTCAAGGACAGCTCGCCTGTCCCGTCCTCTTCCCCCCACCCTCTTTCCTTCCCTCAGGCTCGCATTTCTCTTCCACTGCTTGGCTTGTCACAGTGGGGTCATATTCTGGCGCGCCTTGTATGGATTGGTGGGGCGCCTTCCCGACGACATCAGGTCTCGTGTGGCGGACGAGGCGCGACCTTTTCGGGACGGTGCCATCCTGCGCGAGGCCTCGGTCCGCACAAAACCGACGACATCGACTGACTTGCGGAGGCCCTCTCGCACGCAAACTCCTTCCCCCGCCCGCGCACCCCGCCCAGTCGCTGCCCCCCCCCCCCCCGCCCCTCCCCTCGGCCAAGAGCAGGGGAACAAAAAGTGGCAGAAACACAAAAACTCGGAGGTCCGCGCGGATTTCTCGCATCGGCGCTGGACCCGCGGCGCCTCCGGCGCCGCCCCTGGCGCGCTCCGCGCGCCAGGGAGAGGGGTCCAGCGCCGATCCGAGACATCCGCGCGGACCTCCGAGTTTGTATGTTTCTGTCACTCTTGCTTCCCCTAGAGAGAGAGAGAGAGAGAGAGAGAGACGGCGCGTTCCACTCCCTATCCCGGGGGCGACGCCCCCGCCCAGGCCCGGCCAGGAGTCGCCGTGGGTTGCCCAAAAGCAGGTCCTGTTCATTTTGAACCGCACTCGCTGTCCGCGCCGCCGCGACTTGTGTCCATTTGGGACAGAAGGTCGCCTGCCCAACAGCGGCCGCTGTTGGTGTGGGACAAAATTTGTTGTTGGGCATGCGGGCGTCCAAAATGGTGAGTCTCGGGGCAGGACCCGGGCAGGACCTCGAAAAAGTTCTACATGGCCAGAGAGCACAGTATTAGAGAGAGGGGTGCCCGAACGGGATTCCTTCTTCCCCGGGCTTGCGCTGGCATTTCCGAAGGGTTCGCCTCCGGGATGGACACTGGGGACGGGCATTGGGGACGGACATTGGGGACGGACACTGGGGATGGACACTGGGGATGTATGAGCCCCGAAAAAGTCCACGGGACCTGCAAAATGAGGCAGCGGAAAGAGTTGACTGGCCCAGAAGTTGAAACGTCTTTGCCTGGCCCCGACCCCCGTCCGAGCGAACGCAAAGACTATGCACCCCCGGGAGGCGACGGGCGAGGCGTCGGTGAACCAGGCGATGGTCTTCGGATCAAGCATTAAGTCAAACACTACGTTCCGAGTAGTTGTTGGCCTTTGGGGGGTATTTTTGGGGTATGTATTATTTTCCGTCGACTATCCCCCTGTAGGGGGACACGCCCGACATAAATTAAGCAATCTGGGGATGGGGCCAACCGAGGGGTCACTGCAAAAGCTGAAGTTCACAAGGTCGTGTGTTTTTTGTTCCGCTCCTTATCCTCCTCGTGCGTGCTCCTCCTAGTCGTACTCCTCCTGCCTCTCTCCTCCTGCCTTCCTCCTCCTCCTCCTGCCTTCCTCCTCCGCCTCCTCCTCCTCCTCCTTCTGCTCCTGCTCCTCCTCCTCCTCCTCCTCCTCCTCCTCCTCCTCCTCTTCTTCCTCC